AGACACTGTCATATACCCCCATGAGAGACTCTAATTCTTGTTTTTTTTTCTTGATTCATGAGAAAGAAAAGAGAGAGAGAGAGAGAGAGAGAGAGAGAGAGAGAGAGAAAGAAAACATAGATGGTATGTTCTGTACATACACAGAAGAAAAGAAACAACAACAACAGGGTGTAGTAGATGGCTTGTTTCTCCTTTTATCTGAGGAGTGCTATGTCTACTGTGGTTAGTTTGGTGTAGCAGGGAATTCACTTTCATGGTGTTTCTGTCAATGCTTCTAATGTGGATTGTGTATGAAGTCAAGTTGGGCACTTTCATGGTGTTTCTTCCTGCATGAGCTCTAGAATGAGTGAATGATTCCTGTGCCAACAGGGAAGTGACATGGACAGAGGAAGAAGAGAAAAGGACAGTATTCCTCTTGCTTGCAAATGGAGGGGCAAAAGCTTTTGCTCTCTTCTTCCTTTTGAAGGGTGGAGCCAGTTTTTTACACTTCTCCAATTGCTTTGTTTCTGCTTTGAAACCTGCCTTCATGAAACTACTTTTCTCTTTTCATTTTTCTTTTATGTTCTATCAAGTCACTCTCTCCATCAAATTCCTTCATGATGTGTTCCAAGCATGAATCTTGTGATTTCTTCTAGCTTATTCATACTTCACAAAAATCATTGTCTGCCACCACCAAATCATGATTTACAACATAGCTTAATGATCTCTCATTTTATTTGACTATTGTTTCCATTTTTGGTTGTCTTGATCACAGTAGCATTTTTCTTCAGATTATTGAAATCCTTGAATAAATTATGACTAAGATTCTCTAAATAGAAACTGCTTATCATTCTTGTATTTACCAATTCTATATTATTCTGAGAAACGACCATAAATCTTAGATGCATAATGTCACTATTTTGCACATTTTTATCTGTTTTCTCCATGTATAATTTCATGGAAAAAAAATGTAGGAAATATGTGAAAAATAAAATCTTTATCTTTGTTATGATTTACAAGGAAGGAGTTAGCAGCATTAGCATCAGTTGGGCTAAATTATTACCGAAAAAAATAATAACAGTTGTGTCGAAAACCATTTCCAGTTGCTTCGAAGATATAAAGCACAAAAGAAGTCCTATCACTTCTAAAGTAAAATTAGATCATGTAAAATTGTGTCCTTTTTCCTCCCAAAACTAATCAACCAGTCAATTCTAATCATGCTATACTGCTTAATGATCTGCTCAAATGCACTCTTTACAACATTTGGCTCAAAGCTATATCACCACCATATCCTCCATGGATCAAAATTGGTTGACTTGTCCAACTTTAACTTCCTTCAAAAATCAAAAACATGTAGAGGAAATATTTCAGAAAACAAAACCAGAAAATTGTAAAGATGCTCTGTTAGATGATCAACCAGCAGAATCAAAGGCAATTTCTGCACTTTGCACTACACTTCAGTGTTCTATTGTTCATCTGTTTCATCTTCATCTTCACAATAAGATTTCATCCAATCTTCCATGACTAGTCTGTGTGATCAAGAGTTTCAGCAATCAAATGTCAACCAGAAGACTTGAGGATGGTGAGAAGAAGTTGATCAGTCCAATTTTTTGGGACTAATTAATGCCAATAATGCATTGTGGAAAGGCAAATAATGCAGTTGGATCAACTTTAGATCAATTGCCACCGATGACAGATAGAGAAAGGGTACCAGTATTAAGCATAGGAGGATCAAATGTCATGTTTTGATTGATTTCTATGAAGGTGGTATGACCTACAACTTCATCTATTATTTTTTAGAGGTCTCCATGCATCTATCAGTGCCAGTTGCATACAAATCCATCCAAATATTAAATTGTCCTGTTTATAAAAACTCAAGTTGACCAATTCAAACCATGGATGTCAATTACTAGTTTGAATTTGAAATGTTTGAAACATAAAATATCTTACAATTCTTATCATCATAATTAGTATATTTTAAACATATTGGATTGGCTAGTGATCTATATATATAATATTTAATTTTGATATAAAATAGAAAATATTGAATTTGGATATATATATATATATATATATATATATATATATATATATATATATATATATATATATATATATATATGTGTGTGTGTGTGTGTGTGTGTGCGCGTGTGTGTGTGTGTGTGTGTGTGTGTGTGTGTGTGTGTGTGTTTACTAATTTTTATAAAAAAAATTATTTGCAGAGAGACTTTAGGTCAAAGAATATAAACATATATTTCCAACAATATATATTTTTACCACATTTTCCACCATGGACATCCTATTAGCTTTTCCAAAGATATGAGGGAAAAAAAGGCAAATCCAAAATGAAGGATCTCTAACAAAAATATTGTCCTCTCATGTCATATTTTCCAGGAGAAACAAGGAAAAGTAAATTCAACTCACTCTTCACACAATCCCTTTCCAGGAGATATGAATAAGAATGGATATTCTAGATGTAGATATTCACACAAGTCAATTGATAATAATTGACATAATAGGAATCAAAGTCCTAGAGGCTGCACTAGATTAGGATTTAATGCTAACCTTAAGTGGGAGAGCAATTAAGTTGATTTGTAAGAACAGATTAGTAACTACTATTAACTTCAATCTAAGAATTTTGGTTATTGATTCAAGCCTATCAATTACATGAATCAATTGTCCTATAGATAACATCATGACAAATGACATCAAACCCATATTGTATTGATCCAACTTCCAAGATTGTAGTATGCATGCATAAAACCATTCCCAGACCTTGCAAACTCAACAGTAAACATTTTGAATTACACAGAATTCAATCTGTAACTCTCTCTATGTCATATCCACTAAATTTCTTCCCATGATCCAGTAATCCAACAGTTCAAGGAAGGTCTAAAGTTCACCTCAATCCCTTCTCTCATCTCCTACATCTCATCTCGGCTTTCTGTATTCTCCATGCAGTCATATATGACCTTCCATGAGAAACACTATAGTCTAATAAATCCAAGCACTTCCCTGACTTCCAGACCAAAATCTTAGCAGTGTCAAATTGAACATGGAAACCTTCATCAGTGGCATGAATAATCCAATGCACACACATTTATCTCAACAATTACATCTATACTTTTGAATTCATAGACTGGATGTCAACTTACATGTGGAAAATAATTCAATGATCCTTGTTGATTTCCATATAATAGTAATAAATAATGAGTTATGAGCCCTCCAGTGGACTTGACTTCTTTTTTATTCATTTTTTCCTTCCACAGTGGTCAGAGTAAGTTTGTATTTCCATCTATATACTCCTTCAACTCAATATTTTTCTTGCTTTGTGAGCTTGATATGTACCTAAATTTCCAGAACAATCATCACATATTCATGGCACTATCTTCAGAAAAAAGAACACATCTCAAGAATTCAACATTGTTGAATCATCATGGTATTACAGGCTGAGCTTCAGGTCACCAAACAAGTTTCTTTGTTGAGGGATTCAAACATATTTATTCATAGTCCCATTCCCTCAGGAAAAAAAAATCTCAAGAATAGAACATAGTTGGATCATCATAATGACAGAATTAAACCTCATGGTCAAGCCAAGTTAATTTGATTCACAAGGAACCCCTTGAGTCATTAATATATTATGAGCCTGATATGTACCTAAAATTTCATAACAATCAGAAATTATCATAGCACTATCTACTATAAAAGTGAATATTCTTGTAATTACAGAAGTGAAGATGTAAAGCTAATAATGCAATGAACCATTAGAAAACTTTGGTATTTTTCTCCTTAATTTGATAAAAAAGAATTGGTATGTGGAGAGAATACAACTTTTTGATAGAAAAATAATATCTTGCAATTCCATAAACTTTAACTTCAATGTCATATATAAACTTTCAATCATGTTAATCAATTCCATAAAGTTTAGTTGATCATTAATTTTCATCCGTAAATTTTTAAAAATAAAATTTACCAATTTGACATAAATGGCAGGAATAAAAGTGATCCAATATGCTCATTGCAATTAAAAAATAAGTTTTAATTGAATTGATAAATTAAAGAATCATTATATGACTTAATAATTCTATACTCAATATTATGGGATGCAATCTGTGTGTCTAATTTTATCTAATGAAACTATTGTTATTCCTTAATCTTTATTCTAATTGACATTTTGAGCCTATTTAAGACATTAAACATGATACAGATAGAGCATGTCAATAGACAAACCAACTAATTAGCTGACAAAGCTGATAGGTTTGGTAGATCTTTTTGACTTTTTGTTTTTAGTTTTCTTGGGATGGGGCATATCACAGATCTGCTGATATATTTTGAATGACTGATTAATATAATTTTTCTTTGGGCTTCAAAATAAAATCTATACTTAATACTCAATTGTCAGAAATCAAAATTAGAAATAAAATCAAATTAAAATTACATATATATATATATATATATGGTGATTATATGAGAAAAAAATTATCTTTTTGAGTTTTTCTTGAATCATACCTCTTCTCAAAATTCTAAGACAGTGATATTCGATTTCAAAAATCTTAAAAATATCCTTAAAAAATATCTTATATTTTTTCACCCAAATTATTTAGTATTTTATTTTAAAAATATTGTATAATATTTTTATTTTAAAAACACTGTATAGTAATTTAAAAACAATATACTGTGTTTTGTGGATAAAAATCAACCCATAAAACATCGTAAACAATTGGCGAAAAAAATGATAGTTTTTAAAGGGAAATTTTTGGAAGATTAAAAATAGAGGATCTCTACTTAAAATTTTTGAAAAGGAATACCATCCCAAAAAAAACCCAAAAAAGAAATTTCTTGGACAATCACCCATAATAAATAAATAAATATATATATATATATATATATATATATATATATATAATGAATTTTGTGCTATAAATCTGCCCTGATCCAGTGGGATGGCATTTCTCCTGAGAAACAATTATGAAACAGCCTTGTTCAGTTACCAAAAAAATCTATGTTCTTGGTGGGTGAAACTTCCCAAGCCTATTTGCCAAAGAAACCCCCTACCACTACTTGCAGCCCATACTTTATTTAACCAGGAGTTGGATTTCCTTGTTCCAATCTTTGTCTTGTCTTCTCTTCTTTCAACCACTTGGCCTGCCTTCTCCACTTCTCCTCTCCAATCTCCTTGTAGGTGTCAGACACCAAATTGCTGCCATCTGTGTCTGGCCACACTTCTTTCTTACATTCAAAGTCCTTCTGCAGGAGGGCAAACAGAATGATGGGTGTTCAAGTCCAAGACCCAGATTACTCAGAATTTGTGGAGGTTGATCCTACAGGGAGATATGGCAGGGTACCTGCACTCACAAACCCTTAAATTTTATTCATCCCTTTCACTTTCAAGGTCAATGCTTTTGGAGTTTCCATGTTGGCCAATGTGTTCCATCTTCTTGTTTGTGTTTCTGCAGTTCAATGATATCCTTGGCAAGGGTGCTTCAAAGACTGTGTATGTTCACTCTCACCTGTTGCACCACCCAAGCTCTGATTCCTTCTAATCCATGGAGTTCTGCTCATCTTGGGTTTGTTTTGTTTTCTTTTTTTGATGTAATTTTATGCCAGTTATAGGGCTTTTGATGAGTATGAAGGGATTGAGGTTGCCTGGAACCAGGTGAAGCTCCATGATTTCCTGCAGAGCCCTGAGAACCTGGACAGGCTTTATTGTGAAATCCATCTTCTCAAGACTTTGAAGCACAAGAACATTATGAAGTTTTATACCTATTGGGTCGACACCTCTGAGAGGAACATCAATTTTGTCACTGAGCTGTTCACCTCTGGCACTCTTAGGCAGTAAGTGGATTTGTTAGGAAGATGTTGGATCCAAGAAATCATGCAATTTTGTCGACCATAGATTTTCTTTTGATCATGTGATAATGTGTGGATAGGTATAGGCAACAGCATAGAAGGGTCAATATTAGGGCAGTGAAGCATTGGTGTAGGCAGGTTCTTAATGGCCTTCTCTACCTCCACAGTCATGAACCCCCTATCATCCACAGGGACCTCAAGTGTGACAACATCTTCATTAATGGGAACCAAGGCGAGGTCAAGATCGGTGACCTTGGCCATGCTGCTATGCTCTGGAAATCACATGCTGTCCATTGTGTTGGTATGAGCCACAGACATTAGGAATCAACTATAAGGATTTCTATCGATTCCACAGACAAAATTCTTCCTTTATGTCGTTAGTAGTATCAATTTCATGTTGTCTTTGAAATATTTTGCAGGCACACCAGAATTCATGGCTCCAGAGGTGTATGAGGAGGAATACAATGAATTAGTGGACATCTACTCATTTGGGATGTGTGTCTTGGAAATGGTCACCTTTGAATACCCATACAATGAATGCACCCACCCGGTGCAGATATACAAGAAAGTTATCTCTGTAAGAACTGTAAACTTTCAATTCTATTGCAATTTAGCATCTTGTTTTGATTATTATGTCAGTAAAGATAGCTTTCATTTAACCGCTAGGGGATCAAACCCAAAGCTTTGTACAGAGTTAAGGATCCTGAGGTCAGGCAATTTGTTGAAAAATGCCTTGCCACAGCATCTGAAAGGCTTTCCGCTAGGGAGCTGCTTAAGGATCCTTTTCTACAAGTTGATGATCTTGGTTTGAGCTATGACAAAGGAAACATCAGCAGTATCAACTGTATTTTGGGGCAACCCTCCCTTGGTCTCATCCAAAGTAATGTTTCCTTTATCACCAATGAGTTTTCAAAGATTTTGCACCCTGAAACAGAGTTGCAGAATGGCTGGGACTACGATGTGACAAAAATGGAAGCGCTTGGAATGGACCTACTCGATAGTCACGAAGATGAGCATCCTGCTATTATGGACATTACTATCAAGGGAAGCAGAAGGGAAGATGGGAACATCTTCCTGAGGCTAAGGATTTCAGACAAAGATGGTACAAGTGATTTTAGTTCAAAATGTAATTTTCTTGTATTAATTCTTTGATCCAAAAAAGAGATAACGGACACCTAAGTATTGTTTTTGCAGGCCATGTACGAAACATATATTTCCTCTTTGACATTGAAGCTGATACTTCATTGAGCGTTGCCATGGAGATGGTAGCAGAGTTGGCTATCCTGGATTATGATGTGACTAGAATAGCAGATATGATTGATAGAGAGGTAGCTTCACTGGTTCTGGAGAGGAAGCCAGGTCCAAGATTAGAAGGAACTCCAGGGGTTCCTGCAGCTACTTTCTGCCAGAATTGTGCCTCCAATGTTTTATCATGTGGTTCACTTCTAGACTCTCTCTCACTGAGAAATCCATGCTGCAGTAACATGAAATCAGTTCACTGTTGCCAACTTGAGGGTGCTGAAATGCCTGGTCAATGTGAAGAGCTAATGTACCCGGTTGAGGGATCCGAGCTTCGTATGACTGGGAGACCACCTATGCTATCGACAGGCCAAGGCTTAATCGCTCCAACAATGAATGTAAATGATTAGAACCTATTGTAGGGGGATGAAGAGGTTCTACAATTTGATGACTGCAAAAGAAGTGTGTGAGAAATCTCTAGGCAAGTCAATCTCGGAATCTCACCAGTAACAGTCTCTTGATTTACCAGAGGGGAGTTACCAGTTCACTACACCCAAAAAATTAATCAATGGCTATTAAAATGAGATCAGTCATGACAAGGCAAGGTGCCAGATTGAGCTACAAGAACAGATCAACCAACAGATGACAGTATCCAAAAGAATGCTGCATCCAACCCCAGACTCTACCAATATAGAAAGAATAGTGGAGTCCTCCCTTTCAGGCAATCATAACTCCTTCCATATACCTCGAAGTGATACAAACTGTGCCTCTATGCTTAAGATGGCTCCTGCTGATGTAAATTCTGGGTAGCAGCGGAGAAACTGAACACTGCAGGTGGCCCCTGAGATAATGTTCACAAGAAGGAACTTCTATGCTGGAGCCATTGCGCCACGGGCTCTTACTAGAACCAAGTCCTTCCTGTTGATAATTAACATCTGAGAAGCCTTTTTACAAATACACTGGCAGTCTGAATATCATCTCTCCACCTGCTTTCTTGTACAGCAATAGTGAGATGCACTGAAATGTATCGTTGTTCGCATATTCTTTCGCAGTTTCATGTAAGTTGATTTTCCTACTCGGATAGATGAGGGCTGTTGTACTAAAATAAACACTAACTTGTTTTACGTTATAAGATTTTCCCAAGAGCATGAGAAACATTTCACTTGCTTAATGAGCTTAATCATGTCACTATGTTAATTTCCATTTTCGGGTTTAGCAAGCCTTTACTAAGTTCCTTTAACAGCTTCAGCATGTTCACTGTGAGTCTGCTGCTGTAAGATAACTGTAATTAGCCTAGTAGGTCATTGGAACTTCAAAATTGTTGCTGAAAGCTTGTAATTGACTATCTAAATCATTAAATGAATGAATCAAATATCAAAACCTGTACTTTAACTGTTTGCTAGTTCCTTCAGTTGCTGTCTGTGTTCTTTAAGCCTCTTTCTATGAAATATTGAGGCTGGTGTTGATCTTCATTGAATAGCACAAGCCAGACAATGAGTGTCCACTGAAGAGGTTGAAAAGTCAGCCAGCCTTGCAGTTGCTGCTAATAGGCCTACAGTGGCTTCCATCACATGCTCTCAAGAATCAAAGGTGATAAAGATAGCCATAAACAAAGTAATACTGTAGAGAGATCAGGAAATGGATGGAAACTGATAGTTAAAAAGGTCCGCAGTTGAATGTGAGAAAATGACAAAAAAACTTTTAGAAGTCAGCTTTATGATATGGTCAAAAGCATCGACTCAGATTGTGGTGGATAGCAAGGGAGAAAGAATCTTTGTGATGAGGAGGAATCAAGAGCACTTCCTTTGCTTGATCAAAAGCAAGTCCATCTTGTTTATAGATCACATACCATGATATGTACAGGCACATACACCTCTTTGGGATCTACTTCCATGAAAGTGCCAAAACTGACACCAGTGGAGTTGGCCAAAGGTGTCTGTTTGATAGTAGAGCTGGGTTTTGTTCATATGATGAAGCTCATTTATTCACAAGCTGGTTAATGAGTTATCAAATTAATATTCTTTAGATACATCGCCTTTTAATCATGACAAAGGACACATCAGAAATATGGCATGCACATCAGGATCTAAATCAGTATGTTCTGCTTCTTTCTTAAATAACTTTTACTGACAAAAAGATGAGTAAAAATTAGTTCATGCACAAATTTGATTGAAGATTTAAACCTCAGGCTTCATACTAACTGTCTGTCTTCTCTGTCCAGGCAGAGATGATGAGATCATGAGTTGGAGTGCAGATTTCGGGAAGGAAAAATCTATTGGGTTGAAGTTTTGAGTTGCCTACATGGTTTACTTGCACTTTTCCTCCTTCCAATTTATGACTTGGTCAGGTATCAGTTAATGTAGAAGAAGATTGTTTTTCTTTCTAGCAGTATTCTCTTTTCTAATAGCATCAATCCTACCAGCTTTCCCCACAAGTCTAATTCTTTCAAAAGATTTGATTGCAGGCTCTCTTTTTATTCATGAGGTACCTCACATAAAAGTCTGTCAGATCAGATGAGCAAAAGCAACATGAATGAAATGATATAATATGTGAGCTGCCAGATTTCATGGGACAATAAAGAGTTATATGCTGAAGATCCAAAACAAAAGCTTCTTACAGCAAAAAATGCAGTCTATGAAACTGAGTAAAACATACACCTAACTATTACTGGCTTTAGCAAGAAATTATCAAACTGTCTGCATATGGTATAGAAACCAAGAATCAAATGTCAGTATATAGCAAGTCCTCAACATCATGGCAGCTCAGAAACCAGATCAAATCTTTTCCAGAATGGCTGGTAAACAGCACACTGGAGTCAGACAGACAGACATATATATATATATATATAGTAAGATCTTTGGTCCAAGACATATTTTGGATACCTAGACTTGTCTTCGTTGATCAAGGAGGATCATGACAACCCTTAATTGAGTAGAATTCTTGGTTTGAAATAAATTAAGGAGTTCTAAAATCTGTTGATCTGAGAGGCATTATAGGGCTAATAAGGACTTGATAAATATACTAGCAATAAGGTGAGCTTAAACATTTTGAATTAGTGTATAATTTCAAAAAAATTAATATGTCAGTTATTTCATTCGATCATTCTCTAATAGGAAAGGACAATTAGATATGACATCACAAAGGTGGATGGTTCAAACTAGTATGTACAGGATTGTCTAAGATGTCATTAAGATAGGGATGAAAACTGAGTTTATGAGAGATTTTCCGACTTGATTCCTGTATTACCCAAGTTAATAACCTGAAATGTATGAGTCGTACATGAGTAGTCAAAAGAAATAAGCCCTGCTCATCATGTTGAAGACAAGTTTTTATACCTAATCACAAAGTGACAGAATACTTTATAGAATATTCTGTGGGGAGACAACCTCTAATCACCTCCAACAATCTCCTTTTGGCCTCTTGTCCACGTGGACAACAAGAGAGGGGATATGAACTATTTGACTTGGATCTGTTTCAAATCTTATTCGCGTGGGCAAATGGGTGAAATGTGATTTGAAACTTTTTTCTCTACTAAGGACACACATTGGTTAGGCGAGGTCAAGTTTTATGACCTCCCCATCTCTTCAGGATCTCTACGTCTCAAATGAAGGTAAGGGTTGGCAGGGATTAGCCCTCTTAACCTCCACACCTCACATATCTTGGAAGTACCTTAGATAAGTTTATACATATAGATTCGGATCATGTCGGAATGGTAAATACGATCAACCATATATTTTTTTTCCTAGTAGCGGTATTCTAAAGACCACCATTCCCATGACAGGACAAAGAGGGATGATGTGCAGAGAACCAGCTCCGTCAAAAGGTATCTCATGTGCTCTGTTCTTGGGTCTTTTCTAATAGCTAAGGATTCAGCAGAATATTACAGTCAGTCTGTCAAATCTCTGGATTCTTGAGGAGCTCCTGCAGGGAGGACCTCAATGGGATTGCCGCTAGTTTGGCAGTTATGCTTCTACGGTACTTTAAAGAACATGTAGTAGCTGCAAACAAGAAAGAAATCAATCAATCAATCTAACAATGGTGGTTGCTCCATACAGATGAGAGACAGCTCAAAATATGGGTCATGCAACTGTCATGCCAGCTAAAAGTATTGCACCAACTTGTGGACAGCCCCTTCTCCTCAAGCAACGAAAAGAAAACCCTACAGCTTGTGAATCCATGGCAGAAGAAGGAAGCCAGCCTGTGCAGTCCAAAACTATATACAGCCTTCCCTTATAAAAAGTTCTCCTTCTTCCACAACCATAACTGCATTCCCACCATCTCCTTCTCTACTTTTCCCTCCTTCCGTTAGTAGCAGCAATGGAGGCAGCTCTCAAGCTCAGGCTCTTTGCCGTCGCCATGATCGCAGTCGTGATGGCCTCTTCCTTAGTGGAGAAGGCCGCCGCGGCCGAGGCTCCCGCCCCCAGCCCCACCTCCGGCACAGCAACCTCGTCGTTCTCGGCCACTGCTGCTGCTGCTTTGTTCACCCTCACCTTCGGCTATCTTTTCTGCTGAGCAACATGTTCTTCGAATCCTCTGAATTGTAGCTTCATTCTTCATTCCTCTGTTGCCATGGGTGGATCTCGTGTGTGTAATGGATGGAGGGGAAGAGGATAATGCATGTATGACGATAGTAAATGGTGGGTTTGTATCATTTCCATGGTGTTTATAATGATATGATTTGTTTTTTAGCAAATTTCCTAAAATAATCAAGTTTTTATTTTGTTTTTCACATAGCACCTCTGCTTTATTTTGACAAAGTATTTTTTTTTATTTTTTTTAAATAAGATTACCCTTGTGGTCCTCATTATCGCCTCTGTCATCTTTCATCAGGCAAAGGCAAAGAAAGCCCCTCCCTACTTCCTTGCCTTCTTGGATGTCGAAATCTTCTTTTTCACTCCCGTCATTCCTCGATCTAACAACGAGAAGCCCTCCTCCCTCTTTCTTTGTTCCCCTAATGTAAAAGTTGAGTGGTGAGAATAGAACTCTCTTCTAACATAGTTACTTAATTTTGTCATAGGGGGAGAAATTAAAACCAAAGAACTTCTAGTTATTGAGGACGTCGAAGGAGACGATAAAAGAAGGGTCGCTAAGGTGAGATAATTTTAGAAGTGAGCTCTGAATGTTAAGTGAGGCAACCAATGAACATATGAAGGGGGTAGGCCTCTCGGTCAGTCCAAGGGGTAATATGCCTCACAGAGATGACATACTTTATGATGGGACTCGGGTGACTAGTTAAGTGATGATGTGATTAGATAATTTTATTCTTATCACTTAACTTTCATAATTCAGGGGCAATGGTGACAATGAAGAGATAAGAGCCATGATTAAAAAAGAGACGATCGAGCTAAGGATAAAGGGTCATAAGGGTAATCTTATCTTCAATGTCATACTCAAATATGACATATATTTTTAGGATAGAACTCTGAATTAAAGGTTCTAGAGGTTGGCATTTCTATTCATCCAAATCATCTTGAGAGAATTGGTAATGATAAGCTTGAGTGTTTAGGAATCAATGCTCAATTAAATGGCCCTCAAGTAACCAAGTCTCTTCATTCATCAAAGTGCCTGAAGCAACTCAAACAGTAGCATAATTTAGACAACACAGATTTCCTGATTGAATGAACTTTCTTGCAAATCCAAACAAAGTTTTGTGAGCTTTATGGTGATAGTAGAAAGAGTACTTCTGATCGAACCACTTCCATCTGCAAATAACTTTTAAGGGTTTCTGCAGTAAGATTAAAGTCAGAGTGGATCTCATTAATTGTGTAGCTCATGAGTGTCCTCCTTTGTCCAATCATTGCATCCATATTCCATTGCAAATATAATAAAATGATCATTCCTCATAAAAGGAAAAAATTAAAATGAATTATGTTTAATTACACCTTTTCCAAGTTGTTGAAAATGAATTATGAATTATTCCCTATGTTTAAGAATGAGTGGGAAGAATTGGTGGGTTAAGAGACCAGGAGCGGGTCGGATCCAATCGGATCTGGGATGTGGATCAATAACGCCAACCCGCAGGGGAGTGACGATGGTATTACCGTAAATTCTGTGAATCCAAGGATGCTAATGTGTCGGATCACCGTATATAAGGAGAGCGAGGAATTAGGGTTCTGCCAACGCTGCATCCGAGGTACGTGCGTGCCTGCTCACCCTTGTCGATCCTCGTTTGTCATCTCCAAACTCGATCTTTTCGTTATCTGACTACGAGTAAGTCTTGCTTCGGTCTCCATAGTTCGCGCTCTCAGCTGACGGTTTGGGCTTCTTCCGGAGGCGGTCCTTGAGAGGTTAGGAAGAAGAATTTGTTTCTTCGATGTGTCCTCTTGTTATTTCTCTCAACTTGTTCCCTAGGCTACTCTGTTTACGATAAATTCATCAAGGGACTTGGGGATTGATATGTATCATTGTAAAAGTTCACTTTTTTTTTTTTTTATGTTTTTTGGGTTTGAAGCTCAGCGCTTCTTGATCTTTCTGTGACGCATTTACATATCTATCATTTTGCATAGGTGCTATTGTTCCTTTTCGGACTTCTTCTTGTATTAGATATATTCTAGCTTAAGTGTTGATTGGAGTAGTAGCGTATTGGGCTATAAGAGACTTAATTTTTCATGTTACTGATGTATGTGCTAAAGCAACATGAATCATTTGTCTTAATTTTCTTCAACAAACCATGCCTTGTTATACATAATACTGAACAAGAACCATATATTTAATTTGCTAATTTTTCCCTAGGCATGAGTTGGTTCCTGTGACCCCTTTTAACAAAGTTTGCCCGGTCATTATTACACTACAGCAATTGATCGAAGTAAAGAGAGATGTTGAAATAGTTAATCTAGTTTATTTTGATGTCAGTTTCAGGCTTTGCCAGAAGCCAAGAGTTTTTCTTGGTGTTATTTTTTTTTCTTTTGCTGCTTAAGCCCTTGTCATATGATGTTGAGATCCATACTGGCATTTATTTTTATGTTCATATGTATGTGCTGTTTATATGTCTGTAGACGTAAAGATTATATACCATAATGGCTGTATGTATTTATATGAGTGACAAAATCCCTAGAACCTATCAGAATTATTCATAATGTTTTGGAAGATTTAGTTATTTTAAGTTGTGGTTTTTAAACATCTTCTGAAGGAAGCCTTCTGCTGTCTACACGACTAACATCACGGTGTTGCCTTTGCCATTTATACTGCTGACAAGCTAATTTGTCCTGAAAAATTAGTTTCTTTCACCTGCGCCGCCCCTACGATTAATGGATTTTTAGAACTTGATTGTTCAAATGTATTCTAATGGTTTTGAAAAGATTGAAATTCTTACTATTAGGATACAGCTTGTGTACATATTCAAAATCAAAATAGTAGGATGCTTTGGAATGTCTGCTTAGACATTTTAATTTTAATTTCAACTTTTTGAACTAATTTAGGTATTGTTTTTTTCCCCTTCTGTTCCTCTTTGAGGCATTGTTATGTAACTTTCAAACTCCATGCAATATCTTTTGTATCTCAATCATAGTCTTAGTCGAGACTTGTGTATCAATGTTTGAGTGTTTCAGTACAATTTCATCCTCTTATTCACACAAGGAACTGGTTATTGACAATGTATATGAGGATTAGTACATCCTAAGAACCAACCATCTTAAGGTTTGTTGGTAGAATTCAATAGATTTTCATTTTCCCTTTTGATATATTTGTGTTTATTTTACTTGTAATTGATGGATTAGTTTGTCTTTTAAAGGCTTTATTTGTTTTAAAAGGTCATGCTTGATGACTTCTACTGCTATTCTGTGCTAAATCAACGTTACAAACCTGAACCATGTGATTCTTCAACCAAGATCTGCACCATTCAACTGCAACATTTAATTCGTTGGACATGCTATGCTTACTATGTTTCGTCTCTTTTCCAAAGTTATGTTGCTTTTGTTTCATAAAAAAATAGCAGGATCCACCAATACCTTATCTGATCATATTGTGTAACTTGTCTTTCTGCAGCATGGATACTCAAGCTAAGCTTGCAGTCGTCGTCAAGGTGATGGGTCGTACCGGATCCAGAGGTCAAGTGACTCAGGTCAGGGTCAAGTTCTTGGATGATCAAAATCGTCTCATCATGAGGAACGTGAAAGGTCCAGTAAGGGAAGGTGACATCCTCACTCTCCTCGAGTCCGAAAGGGAAGCGAGGAGGTTGCGCTGATCGTATTCCCTCGGTGAATCCTGCATGGATGTGCACATGAACAAGATGCAGTTTTGTGATAGATTAGTTATTTGCCCTATTATGGCACTTTGGTGTGGTGTGTGACAGTGTTTGCCGTACCAAATCATACCGTCCGATATGGGCGATATGTACCGGTCCGATAGATCAACGGTATGTGGATCGTTCGGTACCAGTCTGCACTGTAGTAGTACAGTGCACTGTTGTAGTGCACTGTACACTACACTGCTACAGTGCGGTATACCGCTCGGTACATCGTACCGTACCGATACCGAGCCCAGGTCAAAATATCAGTACGATATTACGAACCTTAGTGTGTGATACCATTGCTAGCTTGACCAACTGCCACAACTATCACTTTTATTGAACTCTTGGAATCATTTTGTTTGGTGCTTATTAAGTTGAAAATGTGGTACTTGTGTCTGATCCCTCGCATCTAATTCTTTTTGGTTACTAGAATTAGAACAACTATTATGTCATCATTTTTACTCTCCATTTGATCTTTAGTCTGATCTATTAACATTGATGAGTAAATAATTAAAAGGTTCATTAAACAAATTTAATCTCTGTTCTATTAAAATTCACTGAATAACTAAATATAGAAATCAACAATATACACATGAAGAAGTATCATTTTTTTTTCGTTTTATGCATATAAGCCCTCTAAAAATATAATTACATAGGATATGCCCTTATATTAGCATGGTTAACACCACCACCACTCCCAATGCCTTGCAACGACATGCTTTAGGGGTAATCCTGTCATTCCGACACTTTTTCCAGAAAACAATATTGATGTAAATTATACACCATATAATTTCCCACTTTATATATTCCGAGAAACAAACAGATTATAAATATATGTATTGTCTAACCCTTATTCCTTTAAATATTCCTTATTCTTGTGTTCGCAATCACATCAGTACCCTTCGAAATAAACTATAGCACATACTAGGGGTGTTTTTATGATTCCAACTTTTTAATAGACCTAAGTTATAAAAGTAGTAATGCAATTATTCGCTTTACGTAATTAACTACTTACATGAGGGTGGTTATGCAAAAATACCCGTCTAAATATCACGGGCACCGTTCCTCCTGCCATCACATCACACCTGTGTTAAATCTGCCGTTCAGTGGCCGTCGCTCCCCAAATCCATTTGGAGGAAGCCCAAAGAGATAGGAGAGCTCGACTTCCGCTCCCGAGACGGTCATCCCTGCTTCCCCCGAGGTAAAAGTCGAATCTTTGGTGCTATTACTCCAATTTCTTTTGCGGAGATGGCAATCATCTTTTTGTTCATCGTTGGTTTGACTTCCCTTCCCCCACAGCTCCGGAATTGCTGGGAAAGGGTTGGCGGCGGGTTTGATTTAGCTAGTAATTGATTCACCCAGAGACCAATCTTGTTTGTCCTTTGTGATTGGTGTGATTTCTCTTTTCCGCTACCAGGGTTGTTCTTGTTGAGCAGCGGCGGAGAGCGAGTTCTTCAGGGAAAGGTAAGATTGGAGCCGCTTTTTCCTCCCTCTTTCGGGCTGTCTTTGCCCTTCCTTGCTGGGAACTTTCTATCGCAGGGTCGTCTGTGGTGGGTATCTGGGTGCCTTTTGCTTCGGTGCTTTGTGTCTTGGCTCGCCTTTTTGATCTGTAGTTACTTACAGGGTGTAGCCGTGAGTTGTTTTGAAGGGTCATAGATGCTTAAGATGGAAAAAAAAGGAGAACAACGATGGTTTGTTCTTCGAAATCGACACTACTAGAATTTGCTGCGGAAGCAGAACTCTAGGGTTGATGATGTTTGTTGGTCGAAACATCAAGCTATTCTGAGACGGAACTAAAGATCGAGCCTCCGTCACTTAAAGGTGCGCTGGGAGGGCCGGGCGCCCGCCTGGTTAAACTTAGGCCAGCTCGAGCGTGAGTCGAAGCAAAACACTCATCTGGTTCGATTGAACCAGGTATCTGTCGCAGAAACCACCACCCGCCTGTGCCCTAACGCCGAAGTCCTTCTTTCCCCCACTGCGTTCCTCACGGCGGCGGAGTTCCTCCCACCGGCGAACGACGGCGGCGGCTTCTTCCCCTCCCTCCAGGTATATCTCTCTCTTTCTCCTCCTCCGTCCTACCTCTGCCCCGTTCACCGCAGTCCCCCGTCTCCCCCACTCTTCCGCTCTTTCCCCCTCTTCCCCTCTTCTTCGTTCACCGCTGCCCTTCTACCGTCCTACGAACCTCGTTTTCCCTTAATTTTGATGTGTCGAATTTTGAGTATTTGGAATTGTTTCTTTGGATGTTTTTATGCTTGAGTTCTGGATTTTTTTTCTATGAAATATCTAGAGGTTATGTTTTCTACCCGATCAATTGTAATCGGTTTGGAATTTGGTTTTACAAGAATCTAGTACGCATGCAATGAGTGTTTGTTACGTTTTGTTGATTGGGTGGAAAGCTTTTAGTGGAAATAGCATTTCAGCATTCCCACATAAAGTCGGTCTGTGCCTTAGTTTGTATGAATTCATTGGACACCTGATGTTGTTCGAACAGCATTAGGAGGTACTGTACATGCATAACATACAACTTAGTGCATGGAAAGTTGCACATCATTGTGCGCTGGATCAGTTGAGAACAACAGCTGCCTGCTGTAGTGAACAATGTGGTTTGGTATTTTAAATGAATGCAAGTTTGATATATTATTTTAGTTTTAGTTTGTTTTTATTAATCATGATATATAATTTTTAAATTATAATATTCATGAGTGTCTTGCACTCGCTCGAGCGAGTGCCTAGCGTTTTGAACATTTTGGGACCGTGGTGCCTTTTGGCGTTTAGCATGTTTGACTACACTTAAGTTTCTTATACACATTCTAGGACGTATATCAGCACTTTTGGGCAGTGTCAATCTCAAGAAATTTTGCCTTTCTTTTCAATCTACTGCATGGTTGGTTTCTCACTAGTTGTTGTGACTTAAGAGGAGTCATTGTTGTTAACAGACATTTACACCAATGATTTTTGAGCTGATAGGAGATGAAGAAGATTCTGAAGAATCTACCTATCAAGATCCATTCTCTCTGGATTGTTTGCATTCGGTGGTTACTCGAATTAGATGTTGCAAAACTACATTGCTACCTATCATCTAGTACGGGATTAGTATGATGTCCTTAGAAACAATATTGTAATGCTGAATTTACCTGACCCCCAGGTGACGCTATTTAATTATTGTAGTTTTGGAGTGACAATTAGTTAAGGAAAGTTGACAGAATAATTAAAAGGCATCAATCATAATCTAGGAGATTTCTGATAGAATTGCATCTTCAGTGATATGAACCATTAACATGAGTGTCTTTCTATTTGATTTTAACACTTGTCTAGGATGAGATTTCTTTAGAAATTGGGAGTTTTTTGATGACCATTAATTGAGGGGGATGACAAGATAGTGACGGTGTAAAAAGTAGTGGTAAGTCATGGAGTACATGTGCTAAATGTCTTTGCCATTGATTATATATGGTTTAAATTTAAATAGTGTTTTATGTGGCTGCTTTTGTAGATGTGTCAGAGTGACCAAATTTTATAGGTCATGTATAAACTTAGTGCACATGCAACAAGCATATAAAATACATTTGCCTTCAAATATATTTTTGGATAGATGTCATGCAATGTTTACGATGAATGGTTCAGTAGGTTGTCTATGGCATGTTGAGATGCTTAATGTGTCTCGCATTTCCAATAGAGGGTTTTGATGCTGGTAAGCTATCAACACTAGACATGTGCCTTTGCATGTGTAAGAATTCATTCCATTTTTTCTGGTTTCAAGGATTGCGTATTGTGTGTAAAGAAACAACAGCTCACTACACAAGGTTCCTGTGCTGGATCAAGAAGGGTCAATGCGTAAGCAGAGAAAGGCTGTACAGGATCCAATTTGGCATGGTATCCCATGCTTTTCTTGTTCGCAAACCTGTGGTTGTGTTAGGACTTGTCATATGGCTTAATATCTTCTTAAGAAGTGTAGGTATCAGCCCGCATGGTTCAGTTATCATTAGCTGTTACTTCATTACATGTTGGAATATAACTATGTATAAAATAAGTGCTTCAGACTGTACTTGTGTAATCAGTTTAAATGATGCATCCTCTCTTTGTTTTCACTAAAGAGAGATTCTTTTAATTCTTAAGCCTGTTATAATGAAAGTAATTTATGAGAATTATCTAAAAGTATGCATTGGAGTATACTGTTTTATTTCTTTATATTCCTGTTGTTACTTTTATGTGTCTTTTGCATTAAAGTGTGCTTAAAAACAAACTTCATTATGATCTATCTCAGGTATATTCTCTCTAAATTATCGCTTTAGGATATATACCTTTTAGATACATACCTTTTAATTTCCTAGTAACTTCTATATTGTCATTTTTGGTTAGCCTGGTGGATTACGAAGAATCAAGTTGCCATGCATAAAGACAGTGGCTCCAGTGACACTCCAAATTATTTGGGACGAATTCGACATCGTAAACGCCCTAGTGAGGTGGGTTGCTGCATTGTTGATGTTCTGTTTAACAAATGTGGATTCACTAATATTCTTTGGTTTTCAGATGTACACAAGTTAAGAAGCTTAGGTTTTAATTTTTTGAAATGTCTGGTAGCGTACATCACAATAATTGTTTTGATGGATTGATATGATTGATGCATTTAATTTAATTTGTTTTATGTCTTCCTATATTTCATTTGTGGGGTTGCTGTGAACTTAATGCAAATCAGGTGTCGGATGGAATGATATGCATATTGCTATGAGACTACCATTTTCCGTAAAGAGATACACAGCAAATTGTTGTTGGGTGCAATCTGTTGTTTTTGTCTTTGTCAATTAATCAAATTTTCTTTGTTTACTGGATGCATAGTATGATGTTATATCATTATAGTTTTTATGAAACATTTAGAGAATGTAAATCTTTCTTTTCAGGTTTCTGCAGATGCAAATAAAGCAAATGGATCAAAATTGCTTGTTAATGACCGCAATAAATACAAATCAATGCTTATTCGTACTTATTCATCAGTGTGGATGATAGGGGGCTTCACTTTTATAATCTATATGGGCCATCTCTATATATGGGCGTTGATCGTCGTCATCCAAATTTTTATGGCCAAGGAGCTTTTTAATCTACTCAGAAGAGCCAATGAAGAAAGACAGCTTCCAGGGTTTAGGCTGTTAAATTGGTATATCTTGGGTCTCGTTTTGCTATTTTTGCAGTTCCATTGGTTTGAATAGCTTCTGTTAATTTTTTGTAATTTTTCTTCATTGGTAAATGGAGACTTTGAGGTTGGCACTAATGTGGTATGATTTTTTATTTTTCACTTTGCAGGCATTTTTTCTTCACTGCAGTGTTGTTTACTTACGGGCGCTTTCTTAGCCGGCAGCTTGTCAACACTGTGACTTCAGATAAATTGTTGTATCAGCTTGTTAGCGGCCTTATTAAATATCAGATGTTTATTTGCTATTTCCTGTATATTGCAGGTTATATTTTCTTTTAGTTTTCACAATGTTTGTCATATTAACAAGGCATTTTCATGTAATAACATTATTATGGCATCTGCTTATTATGTGCTTTATTGTGTTAATAATATTATGTGCTGTCTTTCTATCTTTTTCCTTTTGATTTAGTACATACCCAAACATACTAATGGTGACCTAAGATTTTTCCTATTCCTCAGTAGAATTTGACATCTTATTTTATGGACAAGTGGACAATGATTACAAAAGTAGTAAACAAATTCATAAGCAATAGAGTGATAAGGAACACAATCCATTCCATTTGTAGTGAAAATAAAAACAAGATGATGTGCAAGAAGAGAGGGATGTAGAATTTTTATCTTTTCTTTCCAATGCATATATTCTAAAGATAATTCCAGATCTTTCAAGAATAAGTTCAATATGAGACTTTGACTTTGAAGCCAATTCTAGATCGTAAAAAAGGCTGAAAACGTAAAATTTGAAACTGAAAGTGTTTGTTAAATTTTATTACCCTTTCAAGATTACTCCAATGAATTGTTCCTTTTTTTAAATTTGAGAGTGGACGATAGAAGACAAAGCATCTCTGTTGCCAATGAGTTGATAGTTGGTCTTTTGCTGAAATTATGTAAATAATTTTATATCCTACAATAACTAGTTTGATATGGTTAATTTTGTTTTGTAATTGGAAACCATATGAGAAAGTGTAACTTGTTATCATTTTGTTTCTGGTCTCAGTTGGAGAAACTGTTTTAACTCCCATAGATAGGATTCCTCCTCTATTCTTGAACCAGTGATTTTGCATCAAATTCTTCTTTTTTCCAATTTTGCATGGAATTTTGCATGAAACTTAAATCATGTAGTACACCCAGTTAGTACCTCATTGATCTACAACTGGCCTCTCTTAATTAGAAGCATCACCTATTAATGCTATCATGCAATTTATTTCTTATAATGGGAGTGTTTTGTGACTCAAAATTACTATTAGAGGAATGATCAATATCATTTCATGTGGCATAGGTTTTGTGTGGTTTATTCTTACACTTAAGAAGAAGATGTATAAGTATCAGTTCAGCCAATATGCGTGGACACACATGATTCTTCTAATGGTATTTGTGCAATCTGCTTTCACCGTCGCAAACATATTCGAGGGTATATTTTGGTAAACTTCTATTGATCTTATTCCAATTTTCCATTTATGAGAAGTTGACTATTGTCAATGTCTTCTAGAGTAATTTACTTTCAAAGGCATGGCATCTCTCTCTCTCTCTCTCTGAAATAGTATGACATCGTTATCAAAGTTTTTGGCATTATCAAAGTTTTTGGCTGTATTGTTTAAAAAGCTTAGATGATTGTACTTATTGTTTATTTTGTTACTCCATGGATACTGAATAGAATGCTAATATGACTCAATACACTTGATCATTTGGTACATCAAATCTTCACAGAAAAAAGAGTATTTTTTCAGATTTATTAGCATCTACACCCCAATGGTCTTTGTACTGGATGAGCATCGGCACCCTGAAACAAGGGCCCTTGTTCAATGCCCCTTCAAACTCTCTCTATATATTTTAAAAAAAAAGGTTAAAAATCTCCCTGCATCTCAATTTGCCAAATTTCTGAAGGTTAAAAACTTCCCCCTCCCCTCTTTTCTTCTCTTTGTCCATTGTTGGAGATGTTGTGGTTCCTTTTAAGATTGTTTTATATATTCTCTTCCTTTTTCCTTTCACTTCCATCAGTTCTCTTTCCTAACTATGAAGATGCGCCTATATATGCCAATGGCATCTATTATGCCAGCCATTAATCAGCATGGGAGTGCTTTAGAAAGACATTCTTTTCTAAAATATAGGATAAATGCACCTTGAAACAGCAATAAAAATCTTTAGTTATACCATGGGAACTATGCTTCTGTAACATTGTTCGCCTTGCATGCAACTAGGGCTGTTATGCAACCCAGGCATCAATGATAAATTTTTTCTTCTCCTTTAGGAATATTCAAATGATTGATTATCTTCTCATCCTGGGTAATGACAGTGTCTCATGTGCTATACATGTGCAGGCTTCTAGTACTTACTAGAAGTTAATCTTTGGAACATAGTGCTCTGGAGATAGCAGATAATAAAAGATGTATCAATTTCACTCTATTAACAATAATTTGATGCTTAATAATAATGACATAAAAAACATCAATTCCTCCTGAGAGAACCATCAGGTATCTCCAAGATACAGTATCCTGATAATATCTGCTTTCTTATTCAAACACATTTCTTCATTGTTACTTATTTGAAGTATTGAGAAGTGCTGCTATCTGACACACCTGTTATGTGTACAGAAAAGAATAACTATAACAACAATCATGTCCTAAGATTATAGAATGAGTGTATTAAAATCACTTATATGAGTATAGCATCACTTATCTGAAAAGAGAATTCTAGTGCAAGATAGAAAATATCAAAAAATTTTCAGTTTCAATTTCTTTGGACTTTTTTCATCTCCATGATACATTCATATGAAAGAACAATGTGGACTATATGATCTATATATTTGAATGGTATCTTTTTAACTGCTCCAGGAACAGAGTAATTGTAGTGTTCTCAATTGTATGTTTTGAATTTTAGCTTAGAATACCTCGTTTATTATTTCTAGCATGCTTTTCAGATTTCTTGTGATTCAAAGTTTTATGTTTGTAGTAAAACTATGAAGGATGAATATTGCCCCTTTACAGGTTTCTCTTACCAGCATCACTTATTATTATCAATGACATTGCTGCATATTTTTTTGGGTTCTTTTTTGGGAGAACACCATTGATCAAACTATCTCCAAAGAAAACTTGGGAGGGTTTTATTGGGGCATCAATCACGACATTGATCTCTGCCTTCATGGTGAGCATCATCAACTTGTTTGTTGACTATGCATTATACTTTTTAGTCTGTTTATTTTCTTTTTATTACATAGGCAGTTTTTTTAGTTCATATAAGGCAGATAATGCATCTAGGCTACTGTTGGAAATGCGAGACCCATATATGTATATATGCAGACAATGGGCTTTCATGTCATGAACTTTGTTAGTAACATTCTTAAATGTATTTCTTTTTCTTTCTCTCTCTCATGTTCATTTTGGTGATATATATTTATGATGTACTGATGTCTGAATTATAAATGAAAGAATAAAAACAGATGAGAAGAGATAATAGCAAGAGGGACCTGCAAGAAGAAATTTGAAGAATAAGGGAGGATATTCTAATGGAAAGAAAGGAAAAGATAAGAGAAGAGGGAAGATGCTCATGTTGATAGATAGGCTTTGAGCAAAATGAGATGGATTTCATTGTTGCAAAGCATCTTCATTAAAGACTCATCCACTCTTCTTAAGTCTCTTATTATACTAAAAAATAATTACTTCAAACCATTAAAATTTTGCCTACTAACATGGCATAACAAATGAATAAGCGAAGAACATATTTTCAACCCAAGTTAAACTTGTCTGGTGTTGGAATTGAAACTATATTTTCTGGCACATAAATATACATGAAAGGCCTCTAAACCTTTCTCACTTTAGAAGGAATATTGTGATAGAAAAAATAGAATTTTTAGATGTTTGAACCTATTAAGTAGCTCAGTAATGTAAGAGATCAAGCCATTGAATCTCTTGCTATGTATATTTAATGGCTGGCATATAGGATCTTGTTCCAACTAGTGGTTTGTTGCCATAGAAGATATGTTAGTAACAATGCACACATAAACAGACCAGCTGTCTTTGTTTGTATTTATCATGAACAGTATTTACATAGAATGATGCAAATGTTGGGCATTTTATTCATCTATTGAGAAGTTGGGAACTTCACACTTTCAACATGTCATGTGTTGCAACTAAAACAATTATACAGTTTTTTTCTTTTTCAGAAAGACCAAGATTTGGTAAGATTCAATCAGGATGATATCATGGGACCATTCTTTCTTGATTGAATTCTTGTTTTCCGATTGTAATAATCAGTTGTTTAAAGTCGAATAAATAAATTTTTGGAGTCTCGTTTTCTTTGAATGTGTTAGCTACAAAGGATGATCATAACGTACCTTATCTATACTACATTCTATCAAGTGTTTGCCATGAAAAAAACTAATTTTCTGGTTGGTTACATTTTCAGTGCATATTCAGAAATTCCTTTGTGTTTGGCAATGATTTATTCAGCATGGTAGAAGACAAGTTTTGTGATGGAGGCTGAGACTTAGTATAACAATAAAGTTGCTTCCTTGCAACTTGGGAGATCAGGGTCTGAGTCATGGAAACCTCTTTATATTCAGAGATAAGACTACATACATTGACCCTCTTAGAACTCGCATTTGGTGGAAGTCTTGTGCATTGGCCATGCCTTTCTAAAAGCTTTTTATAGAACATGAACAGTAATATGTTGCCACACTGCATTATGATTTTATGATACCAAATTATATGTTTCCGAGGAATTATTAGTGGTCCTATTGAAAAATCTCTTCTTTTTTTTTTCCTATCTCCAACATTAGATTGTCGATGATGAAACGAATCTTACTATCTATGGTTAAGTAAATTTCATCAATTGATCAAGAAAAATATGAAACTACTGGTAATAATTTTTCACTGTTGTTATTCAAAGCTCATTTACAACTTTCACTCAAGGATTCAAGTAAAACATAGAATGTTTTTAGTTTATATGTATTATTTAGGACAACTAATTACTTTTTTAGGAACCTGAAGCCTAGTGAGGCAATGTAATTTGGTTTAAAACCCAAGTCTGATACCAGTTTTGGCACCTTGACAGATTGTGTACTAGCCACTGTAGAGTTATATGGTCCGTTTGTCGGCCCTTATTCAGGTCGATAAATACCGATTGATATGTATGATCGGCATTGAAACCATGCTTGTAAATACACCTTTTTTTCAAAGAAAAATTGATATTTAGGACTTGTAATATCAAAATAGTAACATTTTAAAAATATTTCAGATGACACTAATCAGTTATATGTTTTTCCGGTCTGATCAACACAATTTGTATGAGCTTTTAACAAGGGTCTAATTGTGACCATTGATTCAAGTCTTCTCTTGTTGGTATTTGTCCTTACAATTTTTCGTTGTTTGTTATTTAAATTTGTAATATTTGAATGTGAGTTGTCAACGTATGTGTATATGGAGGCTGAACCAACAGGGATAGCTTTTGCAGAAAGCTACTGTTGATTTTTGGTCATTTAATTTTCTTTAATGTTATTTTGCAGTTAGCAAATATAATGGGCCAGTTCCAATGGCTTACATGTCCTAGAAAGGTAACTAACCCAATACAATTATCCAAGCAATTATCAGCTTGATTATGAGCTATATGATGCTTTTCCACTTTACTGACCAAATGGACTATTTGTAGGACTTATCAACTGGATGGCTGCATTGTGATCCTGGCACGTTGTTTAAACCAGAATATTTTTCAGTACCTAGATGCATGCATCAGTGGGTAAAAACACTCAAAACTGCTGGGATATGCTTTTATCTTTGAACTAGTGCATTTAATTTCACTCATTTTTTTGCAGAAAAATAATTATTTTATGGCTCCTTATTTATCTTTTCTGCTCCCTTTTGTTGTTGGCCCATGCAAATTCTTGGCCTTCTTAGCAAAAGAAAAAAAATCATCTTGGCCTTCAAAAATCAATCTTCTTTGGTTTTCTTTGTAAATTGCTATAGTTTATTCAACAATCAAGAGATTTAGACATAAATAGTTATTTAATTTCCGAATATAACAGAGAATAAGGTCATTTATTATCGTATACCAATCATACCCAGTTGCATCTCTTATAATAACCCTTGCCAGTACATGATTGATTTATTTGTTTATTTGTTCAATCCAAACTAATTTATGTGGTTGATTGTGTGGTAAAGAGTAATTGACCAAACCAGTTGTCATGATGACCTTTAGAAATTACATGTGTCTTTAATCATCTTTGAGATTCCTGATTAGTATCTTGGAGAACTATCAATGCTATGGTCATATCTAATTGAAACATGAAATAGTTTCTAAATTTTGATCTTGTTGATTTACTTGTTTTGTCGGTGTCTTTCTTCATTTGATTTGTTCATGGAAGTAATATTTTTCTCGTTGTTGAGTTGTTTCAATTTATATCTGACTTTTCCTTTTCTGCAGTTTCCTTGGAAAGAAGTAGCAATTTTGCCTGTGCAGTGGCATGCTTTAGCTCTTGGTCTGTTTGCATCAATCATAGCACCATTTGGAGGATTCTTTGCAAGTGGTTTTAAACGCGCCTTCAAACTTAAGGTGATATATTAGACATTTACATTTTGAGGACCCAGAAGACTTCTTGGTAATATTTATTTTTTTCAATTTCTAGGACTTCGGTGACAGCATTCCTGGACATGGTGGAATTACTGACAGAATGGATTGCCAAGTAAGTTGCTGGTCCTTGACATTAAACTTCAACTACTTACCCCAGCTAGTATAACCTCCTGCCTGGAGTGCCTAGAGAAATTACATTCCTATTAAACACTAACATCACATGTTGCATTTCTCAAATCCAGCCTAAGTAAATACTATATTAACCAATCAAATTAGATGGTCATATTCGATGCAACTGTCGTTTATGTGTTGCATCAGTTTTGAAATATATGTTTTATTAAGTTTGAGCTAAGTTTACCAGTCATACGATGCAAGCTTCTAGTTTTATATGACAAAGCATAATCCAGCCCCATACGTAACCCATCAATCAATGACCCAAACATGAAGTGGTTTGGACACACAAAGCTGGTTTTTGCTCATTTAAGCTGTTTGATTTACATTGAAGTTAAATATTAAGTATGGTGTTAACCTTCTTGTCTTGCAATACTCTCATGTGTAAGTATTAAGTTTTTGTGCTTAAAAAATATGCATGATATGGTTCATTTGAATTTTATTTTGTTTGGTTTTCTATTGTTTATTCAAGATAGTATTAGTGGCTTTTATTCATCGCAGAACTCTTATATGCTCTTGACTCAAGATATATTTCACTGCTTTAAGAATTTGACATCAAATATTAAGTTACTTGGCAAATTCAGGAGCTGAGAATAATAAGATTCTAAGAAATAGAGTTTCAGTTCTTTCTTCAAATGTTAATAAGGAACATGCTATACTTAATATTGCTCATGTAGGCAGAAGTGCCAACCTGTGACTTGAATCATCAATTTTTCTTGAATTGTGACACTGAGTTGGTGCCCGTAATTATAACTACTCCAGGTTGCCATAATACGAATAAGTTCTTATGTTTCCTTTTGTTGCAGATGGTCATGGCCGTTTTTGCATACATATACCATCAATCATTTGTCATGCCTCAAAGTTTGTCAGTTGAGATGATTTTGGAGCAGGTATGGTGTTTCCATGAATTCCTTCCTTTGCTCACACCTTGGTATGCTATTCCAAATGTTTTGAACATCATGCAGATATTAAGGAACCTTACCTTTGAGGAGCAACAGTTTCTATATGAGCAACTTGGGAATATCTTTCAAGCCAGGCAACTGTTGCAAGCCTAGTTTCTTCGTGTAATTATTGCCTATGTTTTATGTACATTATGTTGCCTATTGCTGCTTCTTAAGATTGTCTTAGAATCGTGCATAGCCCTTTTTAAATTACATCTTAACAATCTTCTGCTCAAAAGCTTGATATAGTCTTGAGCTTCTCATGCATCCTTTGCAAGTTATTCACTCTCTTTCCATGTTACTAACACTATTCTATTTGAAATTGATAACCTAGGATGGCCAGACTCCAGAATCATTATATATTTGGCACCATCTTATGATACACCATTGAACGGATGGAACTCGTGAAACTGTTGATCTTTGAAACTGCTTGTAAATAGTTTTTGCACCATATTAGCTTGCAGCATGACTGCAACTGGATCAGGTCCAGCACCGCGGAAACATACTATATCTTCTTGCATGTGTTTGTCCAGGTTGGAGTAAGCTGGTGTCATGCATCTATATAAAGTTGAGGATTAGATGTACCGAGAATCATTGATCTAGAATCTCATACATTGAAGTATATTTTGGTAATGCACTGAAATGATTAGAAAACAATGAGGATTGAATGCTAAAACGTCATTTTCTGGAGGATGAGCACTTTTTTGCTGATGATGTTGTACCTATTTTACTCTTTTATGCAAACCCTTTCTGGATGTATGTTTATTATGCTTCTTTCTCCCTTGGGAATGATATAAACACATAGGTCTGAGGTATTGTGGCTTTAATTTGTTACAAAATTTAATGGAACAAACAAATCAGATGATTTTGGATTCTCTAAGTGTACAAAAATTCATCATGGGAGCATCATGTTTATGGATTATCTATATCACCTTAGATGAGTTATAGTTTTGTCGTTTGTTTTCCTTCAAAGTTTGCAACAGTTTTCTCTTCATGCGTATACTTGTGATTTGCATATTCTTCTCCGGGATTTCCAATCCCAAGATTCGAACCCACACGATCTTTAACGGTACTGCATTTCTATTAGTCACCTGTATGTCTTTATAGGCTTTGTTAGATCGCGTTAAATGCATTCAAGATTTTATGAGCAATTTAAGGAATTTAATATCATAATTCATAAGCTTCAAAATCCTTATGGGACCTGCGAAGTAAAATTTGATTAGCACTATTTTTTCGTTTACATTCATTTGCTGATCTTGTGATGAGGCTTCCTATTTATCTGTATGATTTCATCCTTGCAATCGGCTATTACAGTGATGATTTGGACGCATGTCACATCAGCTATGAGTCGGCGTGTTTGGTACGTGGAATTTTCTTCCTTTTTCAGTTTCGGTGAACCCTCTCTCGAGCGCGACACCCAAGTCATCACCACACGCCTAACGACACGTATAATGTCACAAATCATTGGCTCCTCCATCTTCCGCTGCGGCGCGTCCAACAGCCTCCGCCAAGATTCATTCTCTCCTTTCGGTCAAGCGGGACCCTCCAAGTGCCACGTCAGCAATCGAACCCCTTTTCTGGGTCGAATCCGACAGCCACTAGCGGAGTCCAGATCGACAATTTGTGTGCTTCTTTTTGACGTGGGTCCCCCCGCCCTTGAAGCCAGCTGCCGTCGTCGTTTCGACACGGCACCAATCGAGCCCGATCGCTGTCTGGAGTCGGACAGCTAAAACCCACGGAGCATTTGGCTTGATGATTTTAATGATCTAGTTGGTGTTGATGGACGTCGGTGGTGACAGACGACGATGCCACCGGCGATCATGGGTAACCACCTTCATGCACCTTGGCGAGCACCCTCTCAGTCTCTTGGGATCTTAGACATATGAGGAGTGATTGACTAAAGGATTTGCGTTATAGAGGATCATTAATTATGTATACTTGATAATGCTTAACTCTTTAGGCCACGGTGGGGTCAATCTACAGTGTCTTATCTCTCTTATAGTGTAGGATCTCATCCTTCCAACTCGATTATTCTTTTATTGTAGACATATTATTCTTCTTAATGGTTTGGGTCGGTAGTATCTCGGCTAACAACCAGCTCTCTCTCGGAGCTCCGGTGGATACTAACATGACGAATGCATCAGCTTGGGCATTTTCTACGTGAGAGACTCTTAACACATTGAGTCGGGAGAAACTGTAAGCTACCTCCTGCACTTCGATGAGGTACTTTGTCATGATCGCATCTCGAGCCTCATAGCTGTTAGAATCAAGAGCACTAAGAGAGGGGGGTGAATTAGTTCAACGGAAAACTTTCGACGATTTTAAACGACGTTTGTACGATAAAGACGATTTCGGTAAGAAAGCCGATTCAAAAATCACTTTAACTTGTGATTAAGCGAGATGCAGTTAAAGTAAAGATATGGAGGTAGTTTGTAGTTAAGATAGAGAACAAAATGTAATTGCAAACCGAAATACGACGTTCGTACGATAAAAGCGATTTCGGTATGAAAGACGATTCGGAAATTGCTTTAAGTTAGATTAGGCGAAGTGCAGTTAAAATAAAGCTATGGAGGCAATTTGCAGTTAAGATAGAGAACAGAAAGTAAATGCAAACCGAGATTTAGAGTGGTTCGGTCAATCTTGACCTACACCCACTTTTGGCTTCCTCTTCCGATGAGGTCACCGACGTCCACTAGAGGCCTTCCTTCAATAGGAGAAGGCCAACCACCCTTTTACAGTTTCACTTCTTTTGACAAGCTTAGGAGACAACCCTTATAGAATTTTCTCTCCTCTCTTGAAAGATCAAAACTTGGAAGAAAAGAGGGAGGATAACTTTTAGCTGATACAACACTTTTGAGCTCTAAAAACCACAGAGTAAGATTCGATTTTCGGTGCCCTTTCATTGCTGAAAGGGTGGGGTATTTATAGGCCCCAAACAGATTTGAATTGAAGCTCAAAACTGTCATCTCCTGGAATTCTGGGGTCTGGCGGTACCACCGCCTAGCAGAGCTCGGAGACTGAGCCCCTGGGCGGTGCCACCGCCTGGTAGAGCTCGGAGACCGAGCCCCTGGGCAGTGTCACTACCTAACAGGGGCAGTTCCGCCGCCTGACAGAGCTTGGAGACCGAGCTCAAGCGGTACCACCACCTGACCTGGGCGGTTCCACCGCCCAACTTTCCTGGGAGGCTGAGCTCCTGGGCAGTGCCACCGCCGGCCAGGAAATCTGGGTCTGAATGGGTTGATCCATTCGGCCCAAATTGGGTCTATCAAGGGCCCAATTGCCCCAAGATTAAGTTAATGGGATCACCTCCCATTTCTAACTTAATTATCATGCTAACTATGATATTTTTAAGACATTTACTACGGCTTACTCTGGTGCGTCAATCGCTTCTTCCGGCGAACTTCCGATGATCATCCAACGAACCTTCGGCGATGCTCCTGCGGACTTCCGGCAAACTCCTGGACTTGCGATGATCTACTTGGCGAGTTTCGACGAGCTTCTTTGGTAAGCTCTTGGACTTCTCGGATTTGTTCCCGCAGAACCTCCGACGACCATTCGGACTTCCGTCAAACTCTCAAACTCCCAACGTGATCATAGTCTTGACTCCGGCGCAACTCCTGCTGCATGTCTTATTTTCATCGTAATTAATCTTGTACACTTATCACAAAACTTCGATCAAGACAATTAATCATAAGCAATTAATCAAGTTGTCTGGCATGTCATTGGTCCCTCGACGCTTCATCCGATTCTTCGGCGCATCGTCCTCTCTTGCGGCCTATTGCCCAATCATCTATTTGACTTCGCAACTCCGATATCCTTGGCACAATCTCCGCTCTTCTTGGCCCGATACCCGAATCCACGGCCCGAACCTTTCTGTCGATACGTTGACCGATCTACCGGCCCAACGTCCAATGTTCCTCCGACCAACATGATTTTCCTACTTTAATTGTCTCATCCTGATTGAAGCATCCTGCATCACTCAAAACACAGATTAAATCATAAACATATATCCAGTGGTTTCATCATCAAAATACGAGATTCAATAGTAGCTCCCCTTCACCTGGCTCATGACTAGTTGTGAGTCACTAAACACCGTTTAGTCTTAGACTTGAAGCTCTCGAGCGAGCGAGAGCCTTGAACTAGCATATTATAGCTACTCTTGTCACATGTATCATCACTCATATGATTGGCTTGCACGACACTTATAATATACAGATTGTAGCTACTCTTGTCTCAGCCTTTTGCATGTCTCCTCATGCTTGGCTGAGACTATTACCTCAACAGTAATATATTGATTGGCTCTCTAGGGTACCTTGAGTACTGTCGCTAGTGGCCTCTTTACTAACGACCACAAAAGACGAGAGAGCTTGAGTCTCATCATAAAGGCCTATATTATGAGTAACGAATAAGCATCTTGCATGCTTCGGATTTCATTGGTGAACTGAGCGACGAAGTTTGAGAGGGTTTCCTCCTCCCCTTGCCAAAATCCAAGAAGCATTACCACCGATGGCCTTAAGCGAATATACCCAAGCAAGTGAAACTCAAACTCTCTTACAAGCTAAGCAAAAAAACTGATAGAGAGCAAATTCAGACAGGCATACCATTCTTGTGTTGAGCCTCGTAATGTGGTCGGGAAGGTGTGACATATTAGGGTGTTTGAAGTATTGTGCAATAACATTTGGGTACAGAAAGCAGTGACGTGCTCCAATGGGTCAATACCACTATCAAAGGCCTCCAATGATGGAAAATGAAAGTTGGTCGGGATCGGCTCCTCTTAAATGTCTTGGGTGAATGACGACCAACCTGATGTGGGGTTAATCAGCCCTTCCCTTTTAGATTGTTGGAATTCTCATAATATCTCTTCCGGTCCATTTATTGTAGCTGGATCCTCATAAAATCATCCGTTGAATTTACCGATTGAGTCTAGGATTTGGTGGAGTAGAGTTATGGTATGGCAGTCTATTGAACTCCACAGATGGGGAGTGGGTTGCTCCCTCAGTTGTGGTTCAATGGGCCAATGGCAATTGAGCTATTAATCGCGACGGCTATGGTTCAATGGGCCAATGGCAATTGACGTCACCTATTAGGTTTGTTGGGGCAAGAGTGGAGCGATGGCTTGTATCATGCTTGTTAGCGTCTACACCAATTGGGTGAGGTTAAAAAACACCTTAATAGGGATGAGTATGTGGCTCGGGGTCACCCCCGAGGATAAGAGGCCTGAGTCATTGAATAATGCTAGTATCGTGTCGATATTTGCGTCAAGATGGACGCATTCACATGTGGAAAGGGTGGGTGCTATCCCCTTGAGTGAAAGTACTATAGGTCAGGGGCAGAGCCTTCTCTCTGAGACGTTCTTTGAGAGGGTTAGTAGGTAGACATTCTTATGACATTTGGCCTTCCTAACACCAAAATCATCATAAGGAAAAATATAGTCCGAACTAGTATACATAAGATTGCCTGAGATGCCTCTGAGGTAAAAACATCAAGCTCTCGAAGTATCACTCGCACGAAGATCGAGATCGAGAGAGGTTTCCCGATACGATCCCTCCAATACTTAAGTTAGTAACCCTAAATTTTCAAGTGCAAACATAAGTGATAAAAAAAGGTCAATCCCAACTTTTTATTATGTTAAGAATATGTTTTTATACACGATCACTTGGATTCTACCTAACAATTGTACGTCGTAGTCAATGAAACGAAAAGTTGATAGTAAAACATAAAAACAGTAATATTTCTCTTAACACCGATAAGCCCTTGTAATTTTTCTTCCGCCCCGACAAATCGCCCACTGCTTCGAACGTTTTTATCACTTCACAAAAGTTATGAACAGCCTTCAAGACTCCCGCTGCAAAGAACGATATACTACTGCTACTACTACTACATGTCAGGGAGACAGCATCACGTTATTCAGCAGCCTTCCCTCTTTCTCTTTTCCCTTTGGACATTTTATTAGATGTTCAGAAATTTACTACAATATCTCTAAAAAAAGACCAATCACAAAGAACCAAAAAGCCCTATCACCTCTTGTTCACTTCTCACTTCTTAAATCACTGGATACGATCATGTTCTGAAATGAAAGAAACAGCCCCAGATTACACCAATTAAGGAAGAAAAAAAAACACTGAGAAAGAAACCCAAAATGGGCCGACAAAAATTTGACGGTCACCACCAACTCCTTAATATCAGAACGACGCAGACGTCCCCCTCCTGCAGTGGGGAACCAATTAGAAGATAGAATGTTGGACCAACAGAACACAAGAGAGATCATCCCCTAACTACATTAATCCTACACGTTGCAGAGACCTATTAAATCATATTCCTAAATAAGGGGAGGAACAATGTCAAGTTGTTTGGGAACCGTCAATGATCCTAATCCCAAGCACTTGTCACCCCAGCACTCCCGTAGCCACCACTCCCATAACCTGAAGACGCACCATATGATCCTCCTCCGTATCCACCGCCCCCGCTGTAGTAATCTCCTCCCCCGCCCCTGCTGAAGGCAGAATCTCTCCTGAAATCACGACCACCAAAGCGAGGCCCACCAGATCTCCGGTTTCTGCCACCGCCGCCGCCCCCGTGAGAACGAGCTGCAGCATAGCGGGAGAGCCACTGTGGCACCTCCTGGTTTGCTTCCTGCATAAGCTCAGACAACGACCTCGCCAGGGATGCATTGCTCTCATTGAAAAAAGCAGTCGCCAGACCTGAATTCCCAGCTCTGCCTGTCCTTCCAATACGGTGTACATAGTCATCAATATCATTGGGTAGGTCAAAATTGATGACATGTGCCACATGCGGAATATCTAACCCACGGGCTGCAACATCTGTTGCAACAAGAATAGGAGTTGCACCACTCTTGAAAGTTCGCAGAGCATGCTCTCTTTCCTGCAAATAAATAAATGACATGATATGTCAACAGAATGCTTTCTGAAACACAAAGCTAGCATGTTTTCTCAAGGGAACAACATGCCGTACATTTGCAGAAAAGCAATCAAATAAAACTCCATACGGAGAGCACTGTCGGCCATCCCATATGAGAGAACCGGTTCATGCCAATTGTCAGGTCTCATTTTTCGCACGTTTTAAGTTGGGCATCTTACAGACATGTCATAACAGCCATCAACCCACCACCATAGTTAACCAAATTAATGGCAGTATGACAACTGCAAGAGTAACAACAATGCATAATCTCCTCTTTTTTTTCAAGAAAGTAGTCGGCTTTAATTACTGAGGATAAGAACTACATAATGACCTTAGTTTTGTTCAGCAATATATAATGTCCTTTGTTTTGTTCAACAATACATAATGTCTTTGCCCTTAGTTTTGTTCACCATCAGTTTCAGACGTTAGGATATTCAATATGGATTTTTGCTGCATCATTGACCACTGTTAGAGATTTAGCTGGAGTTGCAAAATCAAAACTAAACAGAACTCAAAAGTGGGAATCTTCAATTTGGATTTCTTTTCATCATTGAACCAGTGTCAGATATTTATCTAGAATCTCAAAGTCCAAATATACACACATGATCACATGAGAACTAAGACAATGGTTGTCATAAGCATTAGTTCACAATAATTGTATGGGGATTGATTGACGAAGATAAAATCAGGATGAGCAGGAACAATCAGACTGCTTTGGTGGGAAAGTAATTAGACAAATATAGTTTATGAAAAAAATTCATAATGTTAATGCATAAAATAAATTTTGATATAAATAAAAAATCAAATGCAAAATTTTTTACCTATAGTCCCTAGTTGTTAATAAAACAAAGACAAAAGATAAAAGATTAAAATTTGCATAAGAGATAAAGAATGAAAAGTAGTAGAATATATCATTAAGAATAACTACAATGCTTTAATTACAAATCACAGAATAATTATTATACATGTGATGCGAAAGACCCAAAACCTATCAACATGCAGCTTCAAAGAGAATGATGAACCTTATAATTTCCTTAATGTTTCTCTAATCACAATGATGAACTTTCTTTGAAGATTATGCCTATGAGATTTAAGATAAATCATTAGTTCCATGGCATCTAATTAAAAGATAATGCCTTATAAGGCTAAAGACTTCTTGATCTTCCCCTTTCATCTTCCAGTGTTATTTCCAGTCTATCTTTCATGGCAGACAATGAATATTTAAACAATGATGACAAACAACAAATGCAACAAATGCAACGGTCTCAAGAGGGTGGAGAGGTTAATCATAAACTAAAATATTGGAGTTTTAAGTAATCATCATGTGCCTTTATATTATAAAAAATTATAAGACAATTGTTTAGGTTAGTCATGCACCATGAGTCCAAGCATTGGATGGTTAAGAAACAATAAACAGACAATTTTGTGCATCTGAGAAACAAATGTTAAGATGAACGCATGAAATTAGAAAAGATATAAAAGTGTATCCGTGAACATGTAAGTGCAGCCACATTGGAAATAATGAGAGGAGTATTTTAAGATGATAGTTCATGTTCAAATGAAAACTACAGATGTTGTGATTAAATGAGGTGAGTTGATTGGTTTTTGTGGTGTGAGATAAAGCAAATCTCAAAAGACTAGAAATAATTAAAAACAGATTCAATGCTCTTGATATTTCTACAAATATTGTCATGTGCAAAGACGAATGGAAGGAAAAAATTATGTAGCCTAACCCCATATACTTATACTTAAGACATTAGAGCATGTTGTTCATATCAAATCTGTCTATATAGACCAAGAGGTAAATCCTTCCAGCTGATACTAGCAACAAATATGCTTATGCGTGAACATGCACTAGCTAACCATTGTCACCTTCATATTGAACAAGAAAGTTATGCCTGATAAATATAGTGTTGCCAAGAAAAAGTCAGTCATCCTTTTTTTCTAATACTAGAAGATAAAATTACAGGACAAAAAGGACGGATCATGTTCTTTAGTATTCAGCACAATACTACACACTGTGGAAAAACAGAAGGTCCAAGCAAGATGGGAAAAAGAAGATGCTTATGAAATCCTAGACATAAAAGAAAACAAGTTGCCAGAGTGCTTTGGAACTAACAATACAAAAAAACCATGATTATTCGAGTACTACTAAATTTACCAACCTGCTGACTCCTATCCCCATGAATAGTGGTTGCAGGAAACCCATTCATACACAGCCAGTGTTCCAATGAATCAGCTCCTCTTTTTGTCTCCACAAAGACCAAAGTTAAAGCTTGCTGCATAGTTTTAAAAAAAAATCAGTCACTTACAGAACCAACAGAACATCACCAATACAATGAGACACACAAGAAAATAGAAGTATATACACACTTTAAATTGACAGGACACAATGTTCAAGAACAACACAAAAACACAGTAAATAGGTTGAGCCTTACTTTTCCATGAGCACCACTATCTCTTTGGGCATGAAGAAGGTCCATAAGGTGGCTTCTTTTGTCTGAATCAAGTACAAACTCCACTCTCTGAACAATCAAATCAGTACTAGAACCAACTCTTCCAACAGCAAGAAAGATGTAACTATAAAGGAAGTCAGAAGCCAATCTCTGCATGATTTAACTTTAAATATCAACAATTGCTTAAAGTAAAATGCGGGAAAACCATATGAAAATACAGGCCAATAAGAAACAGATAAGCATGCCATTATAAAAATATTCAATATCTCAATAATTGATAAAAGGAGCAGCAAAAAACAAGATATATATATCAACAGAAAAGACATGAGAAGACTGAAAATAGCTTAGGTAAACAAACCAATGACCGATAAACAAAGAGACCAAAAACAAACCAATCAAATTAGTACTGAATCTTCAACAATTTCCAATCCCATTCATCAAGGAACTGTTTACATATATATTATTCTACTCAAAAAATTATCCTAGTATACCATCATTAATAATATTAACAGTTCTTGTGGAAAACAATAACTTATTCCTTTCTCCCTCAGCATTGTCCACAAAGCTAGTTACTAAACCATTATTCTGTTCTTTGAGCTTATATACAACTCATCTAACAATGACGACCACCATCAATACTTATATACAATATTCAACGCAGTATTTAAACCAGTGTAACACTTAATACACCACATATATAGAACCAAAACCATAATAACTATAATCAATAAATTTCTCTGAGAATAAGAGTTTGCAATTATGAAGAATCATGCAAGACATAGACAACGCAAGTAACAGATATCTGGAAAGGAAAATATAAAATCAAATCAAGAAAAAATACTTGGAAATATAAAAAAACACTCGCCAAACTTCAAAATAATCACCCAGTATAACAAGAAAGCAGTCATAATGACATGTAGAAGATTGCCACAATGTTTATAAAAGCATACTATGCACCACAATCAGTTATCGAACAAAAGGTCTTTCAACAATGAGGTTAACTAGCCTGTATCTCCTTTGGAAATGTTGCACTGAACAGCATAGTCTGCCTTTGGCCTCGTGAAGGCATGTCCATTTGTTCAACAATTCTTCGAATTTGTGGCTCAAAACCCATGTCAAGCATTCTGTCAGCCTCATCTAAGGCCAAGTATTTAATGTGTTGCAATGAAACTCTAGCTCTCTCAAGCATATCTACTAGACGACCAGGAGTTGCCACAAGAATGTCAACACCCCTTTCCAAGTCTCGCAACTGCAAATATGGATCATCAATAAAATAAGCATAACACTAGAAACAAGAGAGAGAATGACACAAAATAACAAATTCCAACATTTAATTCCCTTTGTTACTCTGCAATATTTGAATGTACTGAAACAAGGAAACTGACTTCAGAGATACAAGATAGTTGGATAAATAAGGTTTTAAGAATTGTCATCCAATAACGTACATTAATGCACAATCATGGATGAGTTAAAGCTACATTTTGGCATGACACCAAAAAGAAAAAACATTATTTAATCCACAATTAACAACTTTTGGGAAGTTCCTTTCATCTTGTTCAATCAGATAATTATTCAAAAAATTAAGAATTAACAATCATAAAAATTAACAAGATAACATGAATAATAAAAAAATCAGCCATTTGATTCTTCCTTCTACTTATTTCTCGTTCTTCTTACTGTCTTCTCCTTAATCTCTCCTATCCATTTTTCTTCTCAGTACGTTCATTTTTCTTCCTAATGTGAGTACTCAGGTCTCTAATTAAGCCTAAAGCCTTCATTTATGTTGTTCAAAGCTTTCACATATAATTCTTCTGAACTTCTCCATTCAACTTCTCTTTACCTAATTTTATCCCTAAAACTTTCTTCCAATTTGTCCCAAACAAAAAAAAACCACTTATTAAAGTTCATCCATCCCTCTTACTTCTTTCTAGGTGGCTTTTCTGTTTCATATTCGATGACTTATATCTGGAGATTTGTTATTCTCCATTCAACTTCTTTATTTTACCCATT